TATTCTGCTGCATCTGCTAATAGCTGTGTCTAGGAGCTATTAGCAGCTCTTAGCTGCTATTTCAACCTCTAACTTCTCAAAAAGTCTGTGTGCAGTAATATTTTACTGGGTTAAAATGGGCATACCTTTTCTTTTTTTTTTTTCTCTATCTTTATATATAACCTTTCATTTGCTCTTCCCTAGATGGATGGGAGTTTTACTCTAAAGGTCACTAAATTCTGTCTGTTTTGCTCGATGGCTGTGCTTCTGTAGAGGTTTGAGTTGGCAGAGGCCAAGGGGGCTTGGGCAAGATGCAAAGAAACCAGTTTGCAAGGATGGGGATCCCAAAGATAGTGGGTGCCAATGGGACAAACCTGGTTGGTTACACTGGGCTTTGGGTTACACCCTCCAATCCATGAATCAACTGTGCCCTAAGCAGTGAGACAATGATTCTGGACCGGAAGAGCCCAGAAAATTGTGAAATCTGCAGTCTGACAGTAGCATCACCCTTGGGCCCCATGGCTGGAGGGGAGATGAGGACAGCTCACACGTCCTGTACCCAGATAACCACCTAGATTGGTTTATAGAAGGAGCTGAAAGATTACTTTTATCCTCATGAGCAGACTTCTTGCCTGCTTGCACAATGCCTCTTTTGAAACAAGGACACCTCTCATTGTGTGGCTTCAGATAAGCCTCACCCTTTTGCTATAGCAGCTCCCTCTCCTGTCAAGCCCATGGTGGCTGCCCCACCTGTCCGCTGGGGCCACCATGTATCTCTGCAGGCATCACAGGGCTCAGCTGCAAGCATTCATGTGATTAAGCACTGTTATCAGTGCTGGGACCCCCTCTTCCTTCACCTTACAGATGGGAACTGCAAAGGAGCTACCAATGGGGACAAGGGTGCAAAGCCACCTCAGCAGTGGTGGTCAGTGCTTTGGGGATGCCAGGTACCGGCTGAGCACTTGTCCAACTCCAATCTTGACCTTTGCTTTCAGTAAAACTTGCACAAACTTGTAATTGTTAACTAGTTCCCACATCATGGGGTTGTTATTTTTGCTGGACAGGGTTCGAAAATGCAAGACATCTATAGTAGTAAAGATTTTATTATGCTGGCAGCAGACTGTAAAACTTGATTACATGACACTGGGGATTGCCTAAACCTTGTTCCCCTGGTGCAACTGCCTGGGGGTGGGGGGATGTGAGCAGAGGAGGTGGCTTCAAGTCACATCCAGAGGTGGTTTAGCACAATGGACAGGAGCTGGGAGCAGCCCACTTCCACTCTTCAGTCAAGTGAGCCCCATGTGGAGCTGAGGAGCACGAGCTGAGCAGGGGTCATCCAGCCAGCCAAAGTAATGGACAAATCCCATCACGGCTTCATCATGTGAAAATCACTGGAAATCTCATCCTGGAAGGAGTGGGATGAGATTTTGCTACAGAAATGGATTTGTTACTGAGAAATAGGCTCCCCTGTTGCCCCTGTCTCTGAATTCATTGCTGGCATGGGAGCTTTTCTTCTGAGACAAAACTTTCCACAGTTTATATCCATTTTATATCTGTTTATATCACTGCTAGCATTTTTTTTTTTTTTTTTTTTTGTATTTCAGAAGCCCATTTATGGTAAAAAGAATATGGTTTCCAATAAATAATCAAAGTTATAATATCTTGGAAGGGAACAAATTTCTAGAAGGAAAAGTCTGCAGAAAAGTTGAACTTTGAGCCAGTGCAGTGTCTTTTTTTTTTCCCAATAAATCTTCTGCCTTATTTTTGCACCCACACTACAGCAAACTGAGAAGGATTTCTGAGCACTCAGGTACCACAAGCCCTTCCTCTGCTTGGGCATGCTGTGGAAATGGGCTGAGTTTTTCAAAGCTGCCTTCAGGATTCGGGTGGCCAAGCATAAGGGAAGCCACAGACTAATAACTTGAACATCTCAGAACAAAAGACAATAGGTTTTTCTGTGTCAATGGGGTAAGCCTTGCCCCTGGGAAGGGAGAAGCCCAGCAGGGAAGTTACCTCAAAGTGAGAACATAGTGGACAAAGAAGCCTCCTTACAAACTCCCACTGTCAGTTACATAAATACAAGTTTAGTTGTATTCTGGTAACATTCAAAAATACAAGAAGGAAAACTCTAAATGGTGAATCTCAGAGTATGATTAACTTGGGGAACAACCTGCTCCAGAGCCCTTCCTAGGCAGCCATTGGGCTGAGGTTTCTTTCTACAGAAGGAGGCCTCACAGCATATTATGGACACATAAAAATGATTGGTGATGGGATTCGCAGGGTAATTTTGCAAATGGTCCCCTTAGATGCTGACTGGGAGTCAGTGCTCTGAGGGTAACTTGATAACATGTAGGGTTTCATCCTGTGTAGCCACTAATTTGCCATCTTTTCCTAGTAGAGAGAAGGTCTGAGTACTCCTATCTCCCTGAAACTTGAGACCCTCTTCATGGATATAGCTCTAGGTCATTCAAGTACATCAAGTATCTTTTTTGAGGGGAAGGGAGACAGAGATAGTGTTACATACTGTGCAGATGCTATTAACTGTAGTTGAGCATCACAAGTTGGATTTATTAGCATGAGGATGAAAGACCTACATGGCAGGGTATGTAACCGATAACCTTCTGTCACATCCGTTTGAGGACATGAGTCCCCTCCCTTTGTACTCATCAGAGATTTAGCACTTTTCACTTGCCTTTTTGCAGTCATAGTCCTTTTAGCAAACATACGATACTTCAGGCTCAAAGACACGTCAGAGGTAAATGTGACTTCTTACCTCCTAGATGCTGGTGGAAGTAATTGGGAGGTACTGCTTTGACAATGAAAGAAACGGAGAGTCTGGATCAAATCTCATAGCGTTTTGCTGACTTCAGTGAAGTTCCTTCCAATTTATACTCTTTATGGAGAATCAGGCATGTTCTAGGTGAAGCAGGCAATGGCATTCAGACAGCTGATATCTCAGTTGGGACATGCTGAAATTATGAAGAATCACAAATCCCAGCTATTTCAGGCTCTCTGCAGGCTAAAGTAGACAAACCTGCAGATCTGCTCTGTCTTTTCCTAAATAGCCACCATCACTAGAGATGTGGTCCCTTCCCATAAAACAACTGGGATTTGTGTCCATCAGGATTGCAGGCTTGACAAACCAATGTCCTCACTGCACTGGAGGTCTCCTTTGGTGATCTATCAGGAAACATTGCTGCACTGAATAATATGCAAGTCATTTTTCTAAGCTCTCCTTCACAATGATGAGTGCTGACCATGCAACTTAAACTTGTAACTTAATTTCTGAAGGAAAGGTGAAGTGACAGAGAATGTATGAGGTCACGGCCAAAAGGATTTTTTTCCCTGTGAAGGAGCAGACAGAATGGAGATAACCAGCTATCTCCTGGTTTCTGTTAACCACCTCCAATTTCCCCAACAGGATATTGAATTTCAATAGCCCACCACAGCAAGTGCACTCAGAAAATATATCAGTATCACAGGACCAGCTCAAATGAGCCAGCTTTAACTTCCACGAACGTGAGAAAACGCGTGCACACTGCAATTGCTCTCACTAAATATGGAGGCTGCTCTGGTTGCACTCAACAGCAAAGTACCAAATTTCAAATGGTCTGTTTTTGGCCCCTCACTGAGCTAACACAACCATCCAAAGCCTCCTGAAAAAATGCAGATGTTGTCTCCCCCAGCCCAAGCCCAGGACACGTGTCTCACCACCTGCCACGAGGGCAGCGAGCGGGGCTTTGGATGGCTTTCATGCAGTAATGTGTTTTCCTTCCTCTATCACCTGACAGCAGCATGGTCATACTGACAGCTCAGCCCCATTGCTGCATACTTTCCAACGTGGTATTAATCAAACATATTAGCATGTTTGCCTTTAATTTTACGTTTCAGAAACAGCTGTTGGCCGCCTCAATGCCAGCAGTGCCTATTGCCAGCATTAGTGTCATTGCAGCTGTAATAGCACTATTATCTCTTGCTAAAAGGGTCACTGATGGCTCAGGACAGAGCTCCCAGTAAAGAAAAGCAGGTCAGCTGAAATGAGATGGAAACTGCACAGTGATGCTTCTCTCTTAACTTGCTTAAAGACCTGTTGATGCTACATTTAGGGAAATTTATGTGCTCAAGCAGCAAAAATTTTGGCTAGAGCATCACTGAGAAGGTGGGGCTTGTCCTAGCTCCTGTGCCAGTTGTGCTAGTGTAAATCATATAAATATGGGAAAGAGAATGGGGAGATTTCTACTGGTCTTCATCTCTGAAACCAAACTTCTCTCCGTCTCTTTCTCTCTTTGGGTAAGTCCAGTTGCCTTCCTTTTATCTTCTAACTGGTTTGTGTAGCTGCTTTCTTAAATGGATGTAGCAGTTGGTAACAAGAGCTGGCTTGGTAGTCCAGGAAAATTAGTTCTCAGGTCTTTGAGCACATAGCTTTGGGGTCAGCATAAATTACAGCCCCTTTTGCTTTGGCACGGTGGAATTCTTCTCTGAAGGTGCCAATTGATCTCTGCTCTCCTGGGCAGGTATGCCACAGGGCTTGGCAAAATGAATTCCAGCACCAGTGCCCCTGCTCCAGGGTGTCCAAGACAGATTTTTGCACTGCAGCCTCTGCCGCTCAATCTGTGAGGTGTCCTCTGCATACACTGAGTCTGACTAATAAAAGCCTAGGATTTAAACCCTGAACATTTAAATGACTTCAGGGGTTGAAGGCTGTGCTATGAAAAGCCACTCCATATATATATATTGGAGTTTGGTTTGTCTCCTTACGAGAAATCAGCAGGGAGGCCAGCGCTGGTGTGAGTGTGTGGATGGAGACAGGCTTCTGGTTATAACTGGTCATTTATTATGACTTTCAAAGCCTGATGCATAAAATATTCCTCTCTTCTTCAGAAAGTCCATCTGCTTCTGTAGTCTTGTTTTCATGTCTAAGAAGCTGAGGGCCATAAGATGCCTGATGACAGTTTATTTCTCCCTTGCAACCCTCCCTGTGACTCCTTCGCTTCCTACCTCTAGGCCTCCCGCAGCTCACCATGGCTCTCTGGATCCGATCACTGCCTCTTCTGGCCCTCCTTGTTTTTTCTGGCCCTAGAACCAGCTATGCAGCTGCCAACCAGCACCTCTGTGGCTCCCACTTGGTGGAGGCTCTCTATCTGGTGTGTGGAGAGCGTGGCTTCTTCTACTCCCCCAAAGTCCGACGGGATGTCGAGCAGCCTCTAGGTAAGTCAGATTGACCATGACTACAGTCATATGCTATACGATGCAAAAAGCAACTGCCTTTATTTAATGGTGACACAAGGAATGTTCTTGATGGGGAATGCCAGGAATACCTTTAACATACCAACAGCATCGTATCGCCCATGAAAAGATCTTCAGGCTAAAAAGGCAGGTGGGAAGGCAAGCAGGGAAAGGGGATTTATGAGGCAAAAGGAATTGTCACAGAAAGCTCCAATTTTTTTGCTTCTCTCTTGGTAGAGAGAGGCTGAAAATGGTGTTATCCCAACATTTGCATGGCAATTACACTGACCTGGGATCAATCGTGAAAAATAAAGGTGTAAGGAACTCAAGAAGCCTCTTTATGCAATCCTTCTTTACCCCAATCCTGTTCTATGACCTCCTGCCTTCTGAAGCTGTCTGTTCTTGTGCTTAACTGACTTTTTCTTGAATGTTTCCTCCTAATATTTAGCCTAAATGTTTCTTGCTATAAATTAGTCCTCATCTTCTCCGTAGTGGACAAAAGGAAGAGTCTACCTTTTCTCCTTCATGGGTGATTTTCAAATCTTTTGTTTTAGATTTTTTTAAAACTGCTGTTTTAAAAAAATGTTTAAAAACTGCTTCCATGTCTTGTTTTAATCTACTGTGAGCCAAAAGCCCTTAACAGCCCCAGAATTCCTTTTTAGGTCATATATTCTAGCTCTCTGTCCACACAAACTGTGCTGCATTTGGCCCAAGCCATTATGGAATGGTGATGGCTTGGAGAAGCCTTGCCAGCTACAAGAGGAATGAGCAAACTGGAAGAACAGTGTTGTATGGTTTTCACACCATGTTCCTGTACAAGGGGGTTATCTTTTTCAAAGCAGCACCAAAGCTTTCATTGTCTCCTTTGGATGCCTTGGCCAGGCCTTAGTTGGATCAGCAATCCTTGCAGGACCACAACTAGCTATTCACCCCAGTCTACCCCTTGTCTTGATTGCACAACACTGTTTTCCTGCCTTCCTCTAACATCTTTCCCATTCCTTGATTAACAGCATCCCATCTTTTCAAAGGGTTTCTATAGTTTCCTAAGTAATTTTGAGTACTAATCTTGCCCTTCAGCAGGCTTGCAGCCCCCCACAGCTTTATATTGTCTCTTATTTCACGGTGGTAAATGGATTAGCCAGAGTAAGTTGTGATGCAGCCAGTGTCCATCTTTACCTTATTTTGTACAGCAGATTAAGAGGACAAAAAGCTGACATTCTGCAGCCCTCACAGAAATGCGGTAGGTTGGTTTCCTTGCTTTGCCTTTTGTTTTAGCAGAGCAGCTCTTCTGTAAATTGGTAACACAGGAAACACTTTTATCAGCTCAGAGCTACTCAGCTCCCTGCCACCTGCCCTGCCCCCAGATGAGGCAGCTCAGTCCCACCAAGGCAGGCGTTTCCGATCCAGCTCTGGAAGCTACCAGCCTCCAGTAAGCTCTGGAAATTCCTGAACTTGTCTCAAACTCTTTGTCTGAACATTTTCTTTGGGGAAAGATCCTGTCCTCTGCTTCTTGCATTTACTTGTGATCCAGCCCAATATTCAGCAGAGCTGAGGCAGGGTGAATGGCTCCTATCAGCAGTTAAAATGCAAGATTGGAAACAGACTTGCACAAGAGAGAAGTAACATTAAAAAGCACAACTTCTCTGCTCTCTGTTTGCTGTTAATCTCCTTCCTGACCTGTCACTTAGGAATGGTGTGGGGTGCAGTGTGCCATGCTGAGACCCACTGGAAGTGCTGCCTTTCCTCAGCGTTGTGATCACTGAGAGATGCAGGTGTGGGAACATCAGGGGTGGAAGCATTGCATAAGGACCACAGCTCTTCTCATAGCTGGGAAGTCTAACTCTTCTCCAGTTACTACAGTTTCTCCCAAGGCAGAGACCCCTACCACTTCCTATGTCCACTCACCACCATTAGCCATGTCCCACACTCAACTAATTCTCATAAAAGCTGCTCTTAGCAGCTACAGGAAGAGAGAAATCTGGAAATATACAGCAACACAACCTGGTTTTGTTCAGCTGAATGCAACAGCAAGCTCTGCAAGTTCTCAAGCAGGTGGGATGAGGTATTCCAGCAAGCTTTTGAGCATGCTATTAGTATCTAGATGAGAACACAACCTGTAATGCACCAGCTGTAATGCAAGAGTGTTGTTTCTCCTGGAGATAGGTATTTGCAGTTCCTCTCAGCTTCAGGTGCCCTATAACCCAGCAAACACATTCTCTCCTCCATCTTCTGAGCCACTAGTGGAGATTTTCAATAGATGGAGAAGAGACTCCTGCCAAGTCCTAATCATTTTAACTCTCCAGTTTCAAGATAGAACAACTTACTTACCTCCCCTAACTACAGTACAGCTCTCCCTCCAGTCCTCTTCCTAACACATATTGGTTCCATTTGCATGTGCATCTTTTCCCTGCATATGTGACTGCCCTGTGAAATAGTCTCAGTGGTCTCTGGGAGGTGAAGCAAGGTAATGTCACAGAAGGCAAGCAGAGAGTTGGCCATGATTTGCTTTGAAATGCAAGGCACGCTGCTAGTTGCTTACTTGCTTGATGATTTGCTCCTGAGGACCATGATGAATGAGTTGGGTTCCTTAAATGTTGCATGGAGAATTTAATCAGGGCCAACCTGTCTGAAAATATCTGAGAATTTTCTACCTCTTTATCTAGGATTTTCGCCTGAGCCACTACTTCTTTGTCACACGAGTTTGTTGTGTTTGCAGTGTGCTTGCAGCTGGCTCGAAGGATGGAAACAAATAAATCACAAAACATCAACCAGCTATTTCCTCTTCTACTTAATATTGGGCTAAATCTTTTCTAAGTTTTCCCCTTAGCAAACTAGCATAATGATTTCTTGTTACTCATGTGCCTTGTTCATTGTATCACACTTCGGGTGCTGAGGGATTTTGTATCTTGTGCTATGCTTTTCTGCTGCCCTAGAAACCACATTTTAGTCTTGCTTTCCAGACAGTTTCTTTTGGTTGTTAGTGGCTCTTTTCTTCCTATAGGAAAAAATCACTATTTTATTTGCCATTCTCTGTATTTCCATTGGGCATTTAAAACTTGAACAATTCTGCCCACAAGTTTTCAAGCTCATCGCTTTGAGCAGACTATCTCCTTTTCTCCACATGCCTCCCCAAGTAAAGACCCTGTATCCCTCTGTCCACTCCATGTGGCTTCCCTGTAAACCAGGGAATCATCTGGGGAGAGGGAACTTTGTGCCTGAAGTGCTCTAGGAGCATCAGCTTTGGGAAATCTTTGCAAGTTCTCCTCATTTCCCAGGAGCTCTTGGCTTACACACCTAGTATCTGAAAAGGGTGGTGTGGGATGGGGCTGGTGTAGGATGAACCATGACTTACCTTCTTTTCTCTTGGCAGTGAGCAGTCCCCTCCATGGTGAGGCAGGAGTGCTGCCCTTCCAGCAGGAGGAATACGAGAAGGTCAAGCGAGGGATTGTTGAGCAATGCTGCCATAATACATGTTCCCTCTACCAATTGGAGAACTACTGCAACTAGCTAAGAGGCCAGAAACGGGCACAGACATGCACTTACTCTATTGCACCTTCAAAGCTTTTAAATAAACCTTGTTGATCTACTGGAAGACTTGGGCCATTTCATGTGTCCATGGTTTGTATGTTCATTGTGTCTGTGTACATTTCCTGGGGGACACCGCCGTTTGTTTTAGGGGTTGGCTGGCTGTACTCAGAGGAGGCAGTTTTAAATGGTCCTGGAGCCACCCATCGCTTAACACCCAAAGTAGCTTCGAGGGAGGGAAGCACAGCCAGAGGGTACCCAATGAGCATCCCCTACCCTCAGTCCCTGGTGGACGAGGCAGAAGGGGAGGAAAGCATTGAGAGAAACTTCTCTTTCTAGGGAAATGTTACTGGGAACACATGCAAAAACATCACGCTGGTCAGCTTCCTGCAGTTCACAGCCTAAATATAGTGAGGTGGCCAGGAGACGGAACTTCCTCAGTTGTGTAATCAGAACAGTCCTGATTAAGCAAAGAATTAAGTCACCTATGAACTGCAAAAAGAAGAATCATGGCCAAATGCCACAACCAATTTATAAAGTGTGTCCAGTTCTCCCTTTTTCTCATCAGAGGCCCGGGCAGAGTTCTTACTATGGGACATGCCTGCTATCCACAAGTATTTGACAAATCAGATGCAGAAAGCAGATTTTGACCAAAAAGAGTTTTGTTGAGCTGTCTGCCACCAGTGCAACTTCCATCACTGTTGATGCTCGGGGCTGTGCTTTGTGTATATCAATCCTGGACCAGATGCTTGCCCTCCATGACTGCCTTCTGCTTTCCCTTGCTGCCAACAATCATTTCACACCGCAAATTTCCTCTCTCTTTTAACCAAATATTTGCAGAAGCCCTGAAATTTGTCAGAAACAAAGCACCTCCAGGCACTCAGACAGGCAGGATTATCGAGAAGCTGATGCACGTGGCTTCAAATTCCTCTCATGTTTTTGCACCTGCAAGCCCAAATTTTGCTCTTCTGTCCCAAAGAAAAGTCACTCTGAGCTCACAGGCAGAAAAGAGGTTCTGTAGTTGGGCCCACTTGCAGGGTCTGGAGGGAAAACAGATCCAAGAGAACCAGCACTTGCTGTAGATCATGAGGAATTGGTCTCCTTCACAGCTGCAAATCCAAGACTTGATAGAGACACTGGGATTTGTCCTGCATCATAGAGGACAAAGATCCTGGACTAAATAGCCAGAGTCTGAAGAAAGCAAGTAAGCAGAGAGGTTCTTTTGTGATGAGACTGAGACTTGCTACTGCAAATCTGAGATTTCCATCTCTAACCCCTGCCAAAACTGTACAGGTCTAAATGATGGCAAAAGATGGGAGTAAGAGGAACTGAAGAGAAAGAGGTGGTGTAGGAGATGACATTGTCTCAATGACTGCCGTACTCATATCAGCACTTGCCCAGGTAAGAGTCATCGAATCCTAGAGGGCTTACTGAAATATTTGTCTCAACACATTGGTAACAAATAGAGAAACATCTAGGATGGGTTGTCCCATTTTAGTAGTTTTGGGGTCCCAGACCATAGCATGGGAATACATCCAGCATACGTATAAAACACGAGTAAGAAAGACTAAGCACACATTTGCCAACTGGTTCTGCTAAGCCAAAACCAGCTTCCATTGGAAAGAAGCTGCAAAAAGACAAGCTTTGGAGGCTGCTGCTACAGCCCAGGGAGCAAGGCTCCAGCGAGGACAGCTGGTTGGAGATGCCCAGCTCATCCCCTGCCCTCTGCTATTGTTTGGTTTGCTTGCTTGTTTGTTTGCTTTTCTTCTGAATGCTCTCAATTAGGACTTGTTGGGAAATTGCAAATGCCACGTTTTTAGATGGAAAATGTTGATTCATCAACATCAGCACTTCCTGCAGGACTGGACCAGTTTTAGCAAGGCTGGATTAAATAGGAGGAAGGGTAGTTTGGGCACTGTACAGGTCTATGGGAGCTGCAGGTAACTACTCTGCTGGCATTGCAGAGGGGATTTCATCCTCCATGCCCCACTGGTAAGACCATGCACTAAACCACCAGGATCTGGGCTACCCCAGGGTGGACTCCCTTCTTCCACTGAAAAACAGCAGGAGGTTTGGGCAAATACAGAGGGGGAACTGTTTTGAAAGCTCAAGATGGAATGGGATGGGGTAGGACACACTGGGTACCCATTTGGTGACCCACCCATGATGGCAGATGGTGGCCATGCCGCGCCATTCCTCCGCCTATGTGCATCCTAGGATGAGAAGGCAGCAGGTTTCTTATTCCCTTCATCCCCAAAGTAAGAACCATCCTGTGTGCAACATATGGTGGGAAGCGCAGGAGAAAACACTGCATCAATTTAAAAGCTGTAGAAAATCTCAAATGAAAAAGCCCTTCTGTAGACACTTTGCTTTTTCAGAACTGAAAATAACATAAAGGACTTGGACAGGGTCAGCTCTTTGCTTTTTAAGAGCGTCAGTGACGTGAAGGCCAAAGGAGAACAAAGGTGTTTTTTCCCCTCTTTCTGCCACATTGGGGAAGGAAGCCTGAAAGCAATCCTAGGTGACATTCTGCACTGGAGCACACAGCTCCTCGCCTTGAAAACATGATATTGTTAGATGGCTTGGGCTGCTGCACAGCCCTTCACCCCTGAAACAGAGGATGGGCAGCACTGTGAAGTGCCATTCCTCGCAGCATTTCTTTATAAAGCCTCCTGTGCCAGCAGATGTGCTGTGGAGAAGCCAGATCTCCCGAATTCCTGAAGGAGAAGTGACTCAGGGACAGGGAATGCTGCTTCCATTGACCTCACTCCCTGCTCCTCCTCCCACTGGGGCTTTGCATTGTGATCTTTGGGAAGTGAATGCATCCAAGCCCTGTTTTTTTCTGACTCAGCAGTTGCTTTGAAGTGATTTTTTTTATTTTATTTTTTGTGGTAGCAGTGGGGCATCATGCCCAGCTAAAATATCTTGGCTCCGCTGTTCCTTGCAACAAACTTCCAAAGGTCTCATGCTAGCGGTGAAGGGCAATTTGAAGAGAATGCAAATAAAGGCTTCGCTTCATTCATGCTGGTTGAATAGAGAATTGAAAGCTGAGCCGCGGAGGGGATTGCAAGACAAATTCTTCGGGCTGTGGAGCTGTTAACACTGCCCAGAAAAGAAAGGACCAAAGTTGCCCCTGTTTCCTGAACATTTCCCGACACGGGCTCTGGTTTTGAGGAAAAGGAAGAGATTCCTGCAGGAATGGTAATGGATCCAGGCCCAAGCAGAGCTGCTGTGAGATGTGCAGTGGCCGGATGGCAGCGTGTGGTCACCAACAGCATCCTTGGGGTGGCTGGTTGGGCTGCACTGCCATGTCTTGTCTGGAGAAGAAAAGACTGCCACTTTCCTCGAGTTAATCTGACTGTATTATTTCCTTTTCTAGGGTAGAAGAACACTCTCTTTCACCCTCCAAACTCACAAATTCATTTTATGTAAGAAATAGCCAGAGTACACCAATGTTCCCTCTGATTTAGACCAACCCTGCCAAAGAGACCTATTCTCAACAAAACATAGCTGCTCTTCCTTCTCCATTCACCTTGGGCGGGAAGAAAGCTTCAGGTCAGGCTATAAGTCGATCTGGGAAGTCACTGCCAGCTCATTGTCACTGGGTGAATGATCCTATGGGAGGGCAGCCAGCTTTTTTGGAGTCTGATGCCAGGCTGGGTCCCGCATCCCTGCAGACCTGTTGAGCAGTGTGGGTGGGAGCAGAGCCAGGACAATAACAGGAAGCTAAGCAAGCCCATAGGAGTGCACAAGGAAATGATCTGAGCCTTCATCCTTTCCCTCCATCCCCAACCAGCTTCAGGGACATGGACAAACATTTTGGGCTGCACAGAGCTCCTTTCTTTTCCTGAAAGAGTTGGCCAAAATATGGCTTTTTTTTTTTTTTTTTTTTAAACTTATTTTTATGCCCAGTAAATATCAGGATTTCCAGGATGCACATGGTTTCTCTTGCTAAAATTTCCCACTAAATGTTTTCCCATTTTGGAAGAAAATGGATAATGGAAATGAATTTGGCTTTTGATTTCCAGGTTGCTGTTATTTGGCCTTTTTAATGGTGGATTTTTATTTTTATTTTTTTTTCAGGGGAAGGATATTTTACAGAACTGCCAATTTCTGGAATGTAATTTTTTTTTTTTTATCAGAAAACAGCGCAGCTTCCTCTTCTCTAATCAGAAAACGGAAAATCAAATATAAATGACACCACCCGCCTCTTGTTGACAATAAACCATTCTGTGGAAGTTCCAATGGAAACATTTCTCAACTTGTTATCCTTTCTTTTTTTTTTTTTTGCATTTATCAGAAACCTCATCCTCATCACCGGGGGCTGCAGATGCACTGCACACCCAACCTTTTGGTTTTTCCTACCTGGTATGTGAGCATTGCAGGAGATTGTTGAAAATTACCCCCAGTAAATGCTCTCTTGGCTCCTGCTGATTTTGGTGGTGAGTGAAAACACAGTGAAGCAGCTGAACTCCTCATCTACTCCTAGTGAAATCACATATGGTGCACAAACTGCAGTTAAATTGGATGGGGTTTTTTTTGGTCATTTTCTAAGTGCCTGCAAGCTAAGAGTGGCCATGCTTTTCCAAAAGCTGATGCTTTGCCTTGAAATAATGAGTTTCAGCCCCTAAAAGAGGGAAAAAAAAAAAGTGGGAAGTGCTCCTCCAGCAGCTCTTCTGCATCTGCGAGATTACTGACCTCACCCTAGGGACACCGAGTGACACTGAGCACTGATGCCATTCTAATCTTCCCTTAAGCTTTTAGCTGCAGGTCCCCCAGTGTCATTTTTGAGATGCTTTCCCTTAGTCCTCACCCTGTGCAGAGGTGCTTGAGGTTGTTGCTCTGGCTGTGCATTCCATTCAAGAACATACGACCAGGAGCAACTTTCTAGTCATTCACGTCGGCCCTTGCTGTCCATCATTGCACCTTCTCCATCTCCAAAAAGGCTATTAGCATCCCAGTTTCTTCCTAAAGCAGCTTTT